CATCATCTGGAAACTCCTCAAAGCAATCTATGGACTGAGAAGCAGTCCAAAAGCTTGGCAAAACCACCTTGCAGAAGTCCTACAACAACTTGGACTTCAACGCAGCACAGCAGAGCCCAACATCTTTATGACACCAACAAGAGATTGCTATATCCTCGTCTACGTCGATGACCTTCTCTTCCTAGGAGAACAACAAGTGGTGGACAAGCTCTTCACAGCAGTTCAGCAACACCTTCTTCTTCGACCAACAGGTACACTTGAACCAGGGAAGACAGTCTCCTTCCTTGGACGCAGCATCACCAACAATGGTGATAGCTACGATATTTCACTATCGCAGGACTACGTGGCCAACATCTTGGAGGAGAACAACATGCTGAACTGCAACCCAGCACCGGCACCAGGAACATCAGCCTTGAAGGCACCAACAGCTGATCATGAACAGCCTCTTTCAACAGACGAACATGCAGCCTACAGGAGAACAGTAGGTAAACTACAATGGATGACATACACTCGTCCCGATATCAGCTACGCAACAAAGGAGCTGGCCAGAGCATTACAAGCACCAACGACGGCAGACCAACAAAAGCTGAAGCACCTTCTTAGGTATCTCAAAGGAACACAACACTACAGGCAGGTCATTAGACCAACAGCAAAGATACCTCCAACACAGATTCCAGACCTCAACATCTATGTGGACAGCGACTGGGCAGGTTGTCCAGAAACGAGGAGATCAACAACAGGTTTTCTCATCACACTACTTGGAGCTACAATCAACTACGGCAGCCGGACACAGGCAACAATAGCACTGTCAAGTGCTGAAGCAGAGCTATACGCCATCAACACAGGAGCAACAGAAGCACTTCATTTGCGCAACCTCCTCATGGAGCTCTTCAACGTCCAGAAGGTCAACATCAAGATTCACACAGACTCGTCAAGCGGCAAGAGCATGGCAACAAGGATAGGATCGTCAAGAAAAGCAAAACACATTGACCTGAAACATCTCTTCATACAACAACTGATCTCACATGACATCGTGAGACTCAATAAGATTCACACAAACGAAAACCCAGCAGACATTTTCACCAAATACATCTCAACAGAAACACTCCACAGACACCTGCAGGCAGCTGGGCTCAACACCCAGCACCACATCCACTAAAGAGTGGATACAGCAACAGCAGTTTCACAACACCCGGGCAGCTAATGCACTATGCGCACGCGTGCACAACTGCGTGAGCAAACAATGCACACACAGACACACACACACGGACGCGTTTGAGCCATGACCGATGTCATCAACAAACGTTGATGAACATCTCCCTTGTTTCGTTTCATCCAGTATTTCAACAAGACCTTTTTTGGAATCCCAACATGGTGATTTATTTCGACTATCAGCATCAACATCATTGACTTAGTCAACATGATTTCCTTTTTTGCAGGATGACTTATTTCAACAAGATCCTTCCCAACGTGAAGGTCAACATGTCCTGTGACGCATGATGATGTCAACGCCGTTTGTTGACAACAGTCGTGTATTCAACCTTTTTTTTGTGCAGCCATTTCTGTGTCAACAGAACTGCTCACTCAACAGTTGTGGGCACTCAACAGGGAACAAGGGTTCCTTGACATCTTCAACATGCTCAGCTGGTCAAGCAACTTCATTTGGAGTTACAACACTCCTGTGATTTTGGCAACAGTTGGAGATGAGATCCCACAACATCTCATCTACATGCTTCAACAAGCCATTCAGTACGGTGGCACTCAACAACTGGAACTCTTGCCAGAGGCAGCAAGGACCAAAATCAGGATGGTCCTCAACAAGTGGCATCCTCTCCTTGAAGGAGGACAACAATTCCAATACTTTGGTGTGAAGACACCAGAGAGGTTGAGGGGATCTTCAACACTGGCAACATGGCTGATGGAGCAATCAACAGATGAGCACCTCCAACAGCACTTCGATGAAGTGAACAAGTATCGTGCGCCAACCGGCATGGAAGACAACATGGAAGAGAACGACGCAGAGTGATCAACAATGATCACAACAGGGATGGAGCTCAGACAACATCCCGGTGCAGAAGCACCAAAACAACAGAGCCCTGCGCGACATGGCGCTCAGCACATGAGAGCTTGAAGTGCGCATAATTAAGCAAGTGTTTTTTCGTCCAACACCTGCGGCTGCAACAGGTGTATAAAGATAACCAAGCCATCGGCATTTGTACAGAGGATGAACCAACACTCATGCATGAGTAGTCAACATAATGCTGTTTCAGTTTCAACATGTTTATAGTTTCAACATTAGTTGCAACATTTAGTGAACACAGACCCATGTAGAATATATAGTCAACATCTGCTGGCTAACATAGCCAACATCTGAGGGGTCGTGTCAATGTACATATTCAACATGTCATATCAACACTGGCCTGTGGTTCAAGGCCTTGAGTCAACTCCTGTTGACAACATACAGATTGAGTGCGTGCAACAGCAAAAGGTGCCGACAGTTGCAGCTTGACAACAGTGCTTGAAACATCTCGCACTTTTACAGTTGTTGGTTGTTGTTGTTGTTGTCGTTGTCGTTGTCGTTGTCGTTTTCGTTGTCGTTGTTGTTGTCGTTGTCGTTGTTGTCGTTGTCGTTGTTGTTGTTGTTGTTGTTGTTGTTGATTGTGGTTGTGGTTGTGGTTGTGGTCGTGGTTGTGGTTGTTGGTTGTGGTTGTTGGTTGTGGTTGTGGTTGTGGTTGTGGTTGTGGTTGTGGTTGTTGTTGTTGTTGTTGTTGTTCTCGGAACCTCTCCGCCCTGACGCGCCCCCCCTTGCGCAGCCGGGGTCGGCAGATTTGTGAGAGTTTTTTCTCGACTTTCGCCTCTCGACTTTGTGTGATTACAGTTACAGCAATGCTGCGGGCCGGCCACGGGTGTGTCTTTGTGTCTTTGTTGAGTGCTATCGCATTGAAATCTTTGGACATTCCTGTCCTTGGCATCACTGTGTAGGCATGGTGAGCACGGTTAGGGTCTAGGCAGGGTGGGGATTTCTTCGGGCTTTTTGAGTAGGCATCTTGATCTCCCTGTCGGGAGAACCTGAAGCTTTTTTCCTTGTCTGGATTTGTTGGCTTGCGTTACTTGCGTTTGTCTCGAGCTCCGGCTGCTTCATCCTATTTGCCTCCTCATATTTCATGCTTACATCTTGGTCCCTCTGTTCAAACATCAGTACTTTCAGTTTTCCATTCCTTCCCTTCCTTCCCTTCCTTTCCTTCCTTCCATTCCTTCCCTTCCTTCCTTCATTCCTTTCTTCACAATTGTTTCCAAGTGGCTGCAGTGATTAGATTTCTCATCGGGGTGCTTTTTATTTTTGTTTACTTTTCGGCAGGTTTTGGATTTTTTTGGGTTCCTGGTTCTATGCTTTCTTGCTTCTCTGCTTTTCTGCTTTTCTGCTTCTCTGCTTTTCTGCTTTTTGCTTTCCCTGCTTCTCTACCTTTCTTGCTTTTCTGCTTCTCAGCTTTTCTGCTTTTTGCTTTCCTACTTCTTTGCTTTTCTGCTTCTCTGTTTTCCCTGCTTCTCTGCTCTTCTGCTTTTGTGCTTCTGTGCCTTTCTACTTTTACTACTCTATTTTTTCTTTTCTTCAGTCATGTGTTTTTGCTGCTCTACTTCCTGCCTGCTTCTTTGCTTTCTGTCTTTGCCGTCTCTTTGTTTTGCTTTATTCTTTCCTGTTTGTATCCTACATGAAATCCTAGATAGGCCCTAGGCGAAAGCCAAAGAAACCCGAAAGAAACCTTGATAAGAAAACCCTACATGAAACCTGAAAGAAAACATAAATGAACCCTTAAAACACCATGAATCAATCCGAAAGAAACCATAAATGAAACCCTAAAGAAACTTTAGATGATTCCCTAAAAGGCATCCCAAAAAAATCTTAAGCGACACTCTGAAATGAACTTAAATGAAACCTTGGCTCAAACCCTAAATGAAACCCTACATCGACACCCTAAAGAAACCCTAAATGAAACCCTAAAATAAAACCCTAAATTGAAACCCTAAATTGAAACCCTAAATGAAATCCAACATGAAACCCTAAAGAAACCGTAAATGAAACCCTAATTAAGTGTAACCCTAAATAAAACCCTAGAGAAAAACAAAAAAAACCCTAACTGTAACCCTAAAGAAACCTTAAATGAAACCCTAACTGAAACCTTAAAGAAACACATAATTGAAACCCTACATGAAACCCTGATAAGAAACCCTAAATGAAACCCTAACTGAGACCCTACAGAAACCCTACAGAAACCTGAAAAATTAAACCCTAAAGGACACCTTAAACGAAACCCCGAAGAAACCCAAAAGAAAGAGACCGTAAACCGACAGAAACATTAAACAAACCCGGAATGAAACCCTAAATGAAACCCTACAGAAGCCCTAAAGAAACCCATTTGAACGTTTGGAAATCCTGATAAGAAATCCCGATAAGAAACCCCACATGAAACCGTAAAGAAACCCTAAATGCAATTCTAAAGAAACCTTAAGCCTCAAGAAACACTAGATGAAACCGTAAATGAAACCCTAGAGAAATCTTAAAGAAACAGTAAATGAACCCCAACGGAAACCTTAAAGAAACCCCACAGAAACCCTAAATGAAACCCTACATCGAACCTTAAACGAAACCCTAAAGAAACCCTGAAGAACTTTCCAGAAACCCACATGAACGTTTGAAGTACCAAAATGTAGCAAATACCATGCAAATGAGAAGCTGAAGCGCCATAATGTGGCAAATATCATGCAAAACGGAAGGCGCACATGGCCAAATGTAGCAAGTACCATGCAAAATGCAAAGTGACCAACCAAAATGTAGCAAATACCATGCAAAATGAGAGGTTCTAGTTCCCAACTGTTGCAAATACAAGGCAAATGGTACCAGGAAAGAAAGCAACAATAAAATCCAAAACCTGAGGCAAAAAAAACAAAATCTATTATACAACCATTTCTCATCTCCAACTTCAAAACTTGCAACGCCCCAGGACACGGAAACCTTCCTCATCCTTGGCAGTCCAGCAATACTGACGCGCAAATGGTGCGTGGGTGAGATGGTGACAGCGCATCGGAATAACGTGAAGACTTTGCTGCTTTCTTGGCCAACATTCCTGAAGCCAGATGAGAAGTTCATTGAGGACTTCCCGACCCTCGTCCCAGATTACGGAGAGCTCGCCAGTCATGGCATTGGCCTGTCAGATGTGGCGAAAGCTTTCAGGTGGCTGCAGCAGGTTGAAAGTCACAGTTTGCCGGAGAAATTCACGCCGAGCTCGGCTCTTCCGCTGGTGGGTGTGGTGTGTGGCCGGTCAAGCGGACAACGTCTGCCAGATAGATCGAAATCGACATCGACGTTTTATTCCACGGATTGCCCAGTGTTAGCAGACCCTGAAGACACAGAGGCCGTGGCCACGGCCATGGTGCTGTCTTCAATGTTGAAACCCAAACTGCTTGGTACCAATTTGCCACTTCCCTCGGTCTTGGAGGAGGGCAAACATTTGCCCGACGGAGCCCAGATGGCATTGATGATTTGCAGCTCCAACTGCTGGAAGTCAGCCCAAGTGGAGCGCTGGTTGTTGCAGACTAGCCAACTACCTTCCTGCGGACTGATTCCAGTGATTGCTGAAGACAACTTCTTGGTACCATCACCAAGCTTGTATGAAGAGCTGCGTTCAACTTCTTTGCTTGATCAGCACGAATTCCAGCGCTACTGTATTGTCATCAAGGCTCTCTTCCAAGAGATTGCGGTAGTGTTCGTGCCACAGAACTATTCTTCCACCCATGAAGATTTACTGCTTCGAGCCAATCAAGCAGCTTCGAGACTTCAAGCCACCTTGACACCATTGGCTGAGAAAGTGAAAGCCATTGAGGCTAGGGATGGCGACAAACACATCGCAGAAATTGACAAAGAAGTCGATCCTAAGGAGGACAACTGGAAGGAGGACCCTTTGTGCGGAGAAGCGCTGTAATGGTTTCTTCTGAGGCGATTGAGGCGGACATGGCCAACTCAGAGAGTCCAATACAGTAACACATCATAACACATCTTCCGACTTTCTTCTGCCCTTGCTGCAAGCCAAAGGCTTGCGATTATGCTAGTTGTGCACGCACACAATCTACAATGTGGAACATTGTGCTGCAACCCTGACGTTTGCCACGACCGATCCTGCATATCCTTTGGCGTGCTCAAATCCCTGCGCAGGGCTAGGCGTTGTGAACGTTCCAAAACAATAAACTTTTCAACATCCGTACGCCTTCAAACCTGAAGCCCTAAAACCCTAAAACCCTAAGACCTAAAACCTTAAAAACCTAAAACCCTAAAAACCTAAAACCCTAAATCCTGAAACCTACAGTCAAAATAGCTGCGTATAGCCGGTGTTTTCGTTCATCCGCAGGTGAAGTGTATGATATTGTTTGGGCGTGTTATTTGGATGTGAGCGAACGTCCGGGTTGGGGCGTGCGTTCTATGCAGCATCTCAGGAGAAAGCCAAATTAAGGCTTGCGAATATGCCAGCCGCGCATGCACACAATCCACAAAGTGGAACATTGTGCGTTTTATTTAGCATCTCAAGAGATCCCAGGAGTAACTGGTACGAGGTCCGAAAAAGTCTTTGCGGAATTGTTGGATACAGTTCTGGGGCTCCGTCTTTGGAAGAGTGATGATCATCTGAAAAAGATGAACATCGCTCATTTTTCTCAACCGGGAAAGGGTTCAGAAAGCGTTTGGCCCCGAAATGAGAGAATAAATTGGAGAATGAACGGAAGACGAATTTGCGGGATTCATTATTCCCAGCTGTCTAGCCTTTTGTGCAGCTCTGCCAGGAGATCTATGCGAAGACCATTGCCAGGTTGAACCAGAATCGCTCCACAGATGAGCCAAAGGCACACCAGCTCGGTGAAGCCCCTGATCATTGGCGTAGTTGTGGTATATCATGCCTTATGATTATCTGGTCAAACGAAGTTTTGAGAAATTCCGAGTTACGCGGATGGTTTTCCAAAAGGTCTTAAGTCCAGTTGGCGTGCTCCTCAAGTAGAGAAGTAGCACAAGAGTGATTAAGTCCAGATGCATGTTCCTCAAGTAGAGAAGTAGCACAGAAGTCTTGTCCAATTGGCATGTTCCTCAAGTAGAAGGAGCACAGACGTCATTGAGTCCAGCTGCATGTTCCTCAAGTAGAGAAGTAGCAAAGAAGTCATTCAGTCCAGTTGGCATGTTCCTGAAGTAGAGCAGTAGGCACGGAAGTCTGAAGTCCACTTGGCATGTTTTTGAAGCAGAGAAGTAGTTTGGAAGCCATTATCAGAAGAGTAGAGGAGAGCTGAGCAGAGTAGAGCAGAGAGGAGAAGAGCCGAGTAGAGTAGAGTCGAGTAGCGTAGAGAGGAGTAGAGAGGCGCAGAGAAGAGTAGAATAGAGTAGAGTTGAGGCACATCGCCGTGGACATGTTACATCAAGGATGAGATTTGAATGTTAGGATTTGTGCGAAACATGTTTTTTTCGCACAAACGGACGTTCTGGTGCACAGAGAAAAGTCGTATCGCTTGCGCCACGCTTGCGGGCATCGTCGCTTTGCATTCGAATCCTGTTCGAACTACGCGCGCACTGTAAATGAGGTCCCCTGGTGACTTTGCAAGTGTTGAGGTGCTTTGTGCAGTGGAACTGCTGCGCCAAAGCTACTTGCTGTTGAGTACAGTGTTGCGATCCAATTGTGTTTTGTAACCCACCGTGCGTAGATCCCAGTGGAGCTGCTACATCAAGGATGAGATTTGAACGTTACCCAGAATTTGCGCGAAACATGGTCTTGTTTCGGGTAAAAGGATGTTCGGGTGCGGAGACAAGTAGATTCGCTTGCCACGACACTTGCGGGCATCGTCGCTCTGGGTTCGACTCCTGTTCGAACTGCGCACGCACTGTAACTGAGGTCTCCAAGGGGCTTTCTTCTTTGTGTGTTGACTCACACTGTGCTTTTGTGCCTTGCAACTCCGTCTTTGCAGATTGCAGAGCGGTGGCTGCCTCAAGGTTGCCAGGGTAAAGTTTCAGCAGATTTGTTTTTGCATTTGGCGCTGATGATGTTCCTTCTTTTGAAATTCCAAAAAATGCTTCAAAATTGTTCTTTCTTGGCTTTGGCTCCAAGATCCGGTTTTGGAGCCACACTTTCTGTTACATTTTGTACGAGGGAGATTCCAAGGGTAAACGCTTCTTTTGAGTAAAAGTATCGCTGTGTAACGCTTCACTGTGTAAAAACCTGCTGAGCTGCATGTGAAAGCTTCTCCGTGTAAACGCTTTGTGTAAACACTTCCCTGTGGAAAAAGTTGTTTGTATAAAAACTTCTCTGTGTAAACGCTTGTGTGTGTAAACGCTTGCTGTATATGAGGATTTATCTGTGTAAACGCTTCTCTGTGTAAAAACTTGCTGTGTGTGAAAACTTCTCCGTGTAAAGGAAGGCTTTCTGAGTAAAAACTTCGTTGTGTAAAAACTTCTCCGCGTACTAGCTTCTGTGTGTAAAAACCTTTCTGTGTAAGAAAATCTGTGTGAAAAGGTTCTCTGTGTAAAAAAATCTGTGCGACCTTCTCTGTGTAAGGGCCTCTCTGTGCAACAAATTCTCTGTGTAATTGCCTCTGTGTGTGAAAAAGGTGTTCTGTGTATAAAAAATTATCTGTGTAAAAACTTTCTCTGTGAAAAAAAACCGTGCAACGGCTTCTGTGTGTAAAAAGCAATTGTGTTAAAATTTCTCCATGTTTGGGTTTTCACGTTTGTATGGCCTGTTCGATTTGCATGCTTTGGTGCGCTGCCATGTTCTTGACTTGCATTTGAATTGCTTGTCAGACGTTCGGCAGGCAGCATGTAGCTGTACTGCCTGCGCGCCACGCTCCGCTCCAACTGTGACCGCATGCGGAAAACATGCAGCGTCTGCAACATGGTTGGAATTCATTACCCCGGGTAGACGCTGCAAATGGCAGTGGGCAGGGTTGCAGAAGACCAAGCAGGTCACGACGGAGGTGAGAAGATTAAAAGGGTTGAGACGTTGGGAAAACAGTTAGAATAGATCAATGAGAGACAAACTTGACAAGAAGTGAGAAGAATTGAAAAGATGAGAAGCTTTGAGAAAATGTGAAAAGAAGTGGGAAGAGTTGAGAGGAGGTGGAAAGGGTTGCAAAGATGCGAAAAGTAGTTGAGTAGGGTTGAGAAGAAGTGAGCAAGGTGTGAAGAGATGTCAAGAGTTGACAAAAGTTGAACAAGTCAAAGGTTGAGACACTGCGAGCAGACTTGAAAAGAGGTGGGAGAAGCTGAAAAGATTTGAGACAAATTGAGAAGACATGACAAATTGAAAAGGATTCCTGCAGGGGAAAAAAGTGAGAAGAGGTGCAGCAAAGTGAAGACAAAACAAGTTCAAACAAGAGCTGAGAAGATGTGAGGCTTCACGCCAGCTCAGATAGGCAAAACTTGTCCTTCACTCCTATGGTACAACATTCCTTGCTGGAAACTTCCGCCGCCTTGTGCGGGTTCTACTTGTATGATTTTGATATATTTTGATTGTGGTTTCCAAGAATTGAACCGATCTAGCCAGTTGCGATTTTCCAAGCGAGGTAAGCCTCCTAAGTCTCCTGAGTCTGACCCAAACCCGACGACAGGTGCAGGACCCGGATTTTGTGCACGGCCTGGTTGAGGATGCCATCGATCATGTGGCTCGAGACTCACCAGAAGTCGTCTGAGCAACGTATTTTGGGATCCAAACACCACCGCTTTTCTACACTTATATGAAGCTATATGAAGTTCTATGTAGTTTTTTCTAGACATGATCAGTATATGGTAGATGTGTAAAGTTCTGGTTGTTTCCGCTAGTTTGTGACCATCACAGCGCCCCCAAAGGCATGATCTGATGTTTGGTGCCATATAGCTGATAGGAAGTTGCACCCCCAAGGGGTACAGCTGGGTTTCACCCGTGGACCGGATGCTAACACAGCGCGCACTTAACCACGCCGGAAATGTTGGAGCCAAGAGATGAGAAAAATATGGAAAACCGACAAGAGACTCACGGATTCCATTCACACTTGAGTTATGACTCACGACCAGGCATTGGGCAATTACCATGGGTGATGATCGGCTGCGCTACTTATGCATTTGCCCAGTGACACAACCAGCTCAAGGCCGTTTAGGAGTTTCGTTACAGAAAACCGGTCGCAATGACGTCGCTGCGCTTTGCTTTCTGCTTTCCCATGGCCACTGGGCACATCAACCCCTCGCTGCCCATTGCGAAAGCTTTGACAGATTTGGGGCATGAGGTGGGACAGTGCACTATAGTATCACTATAGTGCCCCTCACTTGTAGTTTCTTAGTTGATTCATTGACTCCAATTACTAACATCATCTAATATCAAATATCTAGCCACTAGAGAAATCCATTACCATCAGGTCAACTATAATATCACTACTAATAACATAGACCCGGGCAAGCCGGCGGCGGAAGTTTCCCAAACATAAATGACCTATAGTTCAAAGACACCCTGTCCCGACCGTGTCCTTCCCTCGACACTCCACACCTCACACTGCACACTGCACTCTTCGCACTCCAAACTTCAAACTTCACACTCCACACTTCACACTCCACACTTCTCACTTCTCACTTCTCACTGCTTCCTTCACACTCCAAACCTCACACTTCACACTTCGCACTGCACACTTCACACTTCACAGTCCACACTTCACACTTCACACTTCACAGTCCACACTTCACACTTCACACTTCACACTTCACAGTCCACACTTCTCACTTCGCACTTCACACTTCACACTTCACACTCCACATTTCACACTTCTCACTTCTCACTGCTTCCTGCACACTCCAAACTTCACACTTCACACTTCTCACTTCGCACTTCACACTCCACACTTCACTCACACTTCACACTTCACAGTCCACACTTCACACTTCTCACTGCTTCCTTCACACTCCAAACCTCACACTTCACACTTCGCACTTCACACTGCGCTCTTCGCACTCCACACTGCACAGTCCACACTTCACACTTCTCACTTCACACTTCTCACTTCTCACTGCTTCCTTCACAGTCCAAACTTCACACTTCTCACTTCGCACTTCACACTCCACACTTCACAGTCCACACTTCACACTTCTCACTTCTCACTGCTTCCTTCCCACTCCAAACTTCACACTCCAAACTTCACACTTCTCACTTCGCACTTCACACTCCACACTTCACTCACACTTCACACTTCACCTTCCACACTTCACACTTCTCACTGCTTCCTTCACACTCCAAACCTCCCACTTCACACTTCACACTTCACACTGCGCTCTTCGCACTCCAAACTTAAACTTCACACTCCACACTTCACACTTCTCACTTCCCACTGCTTCCTTCACACTGCACACTTCACACTGCACTCTTCACACTCCACACTTCACACTGCACTCTTTGCACTCCAAACTTCACACTCCACACTTCACAGTCCACACTTCACACTTCTCACTTCTCACTGCTTCCTTCACACTCCAAACTTCACACTTCACACTGCACTCTTCACGCCCCACATTTCACACTACACTCTTCACACTCCACAGTTCATCTCATCTGAGCTCTTCTCACCTTATCCCAGCTCATCTCTTCTCATTTCGCCCCTTCTCATATGTCATCTATTAAGCTTTCATTAATCAATTCCCAGCACTACTACTAATCACTGTCGAACCCTTGATGCACCTACTCCAATACGATTTACGAAGTCCAGTTGCAAAAGACAATAGTATTGCGCATGCAGCCGCGGCACCAAGCAACCTTGACGCAGCCCCGCAGAGACTGAGTCGCAAAACACAATAGAACTACGCACAACGGCGTCGGAAATTGTAGCTCCAAAACCGGATCTCGACGCCAGAGCGAAAAAAAAGACGATTTTGAAGCACTTTTTAAAAGAATTTTTAAAAAGAAAATCACTGGCGCCAAAATGGAGAAAATCTGCTGACAAATCAATGTCGCAGCCTTCATGCAGCCACTCCAATACGATTTACGAAGTCCAGCTGCAAAAGACAATAGTATTACGCATGCAGCCGTGGCAAGAAGCAACCTTGACGCAGCCATTACAATGCGATCTGCAGAGACTGAGTTGCAAAGCACAATAGAACTACGCGCAACGGCGTCGGAAATTGTAGCTCCAAAACCGGATCTCGACGCCAGAGCGAAAAAAAAGACGATTTTGAAGCACTTTTTAAAAGGATTTTTAGAAGGAAAATCACTAGCGCCAAAATGGAGAAAATCTGCTGACAAATCAATGTCGCAGCCTTCATGCAGCCACTCCAATACGATTTACGAGATCCAGCTGCAAAAGACAATAGTATTACGAATGCAGCCACAGCACGAAGCAACCTTGACGCAGCCATTACAATGCGATCTGCAGAGACGGAGTTGCAAAACACAATAGAACTACGCACAACGGCGTCGGAAATTGTAGCTCCAAAACCGGATCTCGACGCCAGAGCGAAAAAAAGACGATTTTGAAGCACTTTTTAAAAGAATTTTTAGAAGGAAATTCACTAGCGCCACAATGGAGAAAATCTGCCAACAAATCACTGTGGCAGCCTTCATGCAGCCAATCCAATACGATTTACGAAGTCCAGCTGCAAAAGACAATAGTATTACCAATGCAATGCAGCCACAGCACGAAGGAACCTTGACGCAACCATTTACAGGGAGGGAACGATCCTAGACTTGCAAATCACAATGGAATTCCATCGGCAACTCATCCACCAGCACCACTTGCAATCCCATTTACAGTGAGGGAACGATCCTAGAGTTGCAAATCACAATGGAATTCCATCGGCAACTCATCCACCAGCACCACTTGCAATCCCATTTACATTGCGGGAACGATCCTACAGGTGCAAATCACAATGGAATTCTGTCGACTGCACATGCACGAAACACAGTTGAAACCACATTTACAATGCGGAACCGATCCGAGAATGATCCGCCCATGATCCGAGCATGATCCGACCACACACGAGACCGTCTCGCAACCGTCGCACCGCAGAGGTAGATCATCGAGGTTCGGGGACGGACTTTGTATGGAAAAACATAGGGTTTCGTGCATCTGCTATCTCTCAAAAACGCATTTCGTGCGAGACTTCCTTCAAAACTCCATCGGCAACTCATCAACCAGCACCACTTGCAATCCCATTTACAGTGAGGGAACGATCCTAGAGTTGCAAATCACAATGCAATTCCATCAGCAACTCATCCACCAGCACCACTTGCATCCCATTTACAATGCGGGAACGATCCTACAGTTGCAAAGCACAATGGAATTCCATCGGCAACTCCTCCACCAGCACCACTTGCAATGCCATTTGCATTGCGAGAACGATTCTACAGTTGCAAATCGCGATGGAATTCCATCTGCAACTCATCCACCAGCACCACTTGCAATCCCATTTACAGTGAGGGAACGATCCTAGAGTTGCAAATCACAATGGAATTCCATCGGCAACTCATCCACCAGCGCCACTTGCAATCCCATTTACATTGCGGGAACGATCCTACAGTTGCAAATCACAATGGAATTCTGTCGACCGCACATAGACGAAACACAGTTGAAACCCCATTTACAATGCGGAACCGATCCGAGACCGATCCGACCATGATCCGACCATGATCCGAGGATGATCCGAGGATGGATCCGACCACACACGAGACCGTCTCGCACCCGTCGCACCGCAGAGGTAGATCATCGAGGTTCGGGGACAGACTTTGTATGGAAAAACATAGGGTTTCGTGCATCTGCTATCTCTCAAAAACGCATTTCGTGCGAGACTTCCTTCAAAACTCCATCGGCAACTCATCCGGCAGCACCACTTGCAATGCCATTCTAACTCTTTCTTTGACTAACTCTTTCCCTGACATTCTATAACGTTACACTTCAACTCTGTCCCTAACTAACTCTTTCCTGCACGAACCTTCAGTTGGAACGAGCTCTTTCCCGTACAGCGTAAAAGGGAAAAGACGCGTGCACTAACGAACTCTTTCTCTCACTAACTCTTTCTTTGACTAACTCTTTCCCTGATGAACTCTTTCTCTAACTAACTCTTTCTCTCACTAACTCTTTCTCTCACTAACTCTGCTGGACGACGTCCCTGACAAACTCGGGGCTCGCAGGGAAAAAAAAAAAAAAAAAAAAAAAAAAACTCTTTCTTTGACTAACTCTTTCCCTGATGAACTCTTTCTCTCACTAACTCTTTCTCTCACTAACTCTTTCTTTGACTAACTCTTTCCCTGATGAACTCTTTCTCTCACTAACTCTTTCTTTGACTAACTCTTTCCCTGATGAACTCTTTCTCTAACTAACTCTTTCTCTCACTAACTCTTTCTCTCACTAACTCTTTCTTTGACTAACTCTTTCCCTGATGAACTCTTTCTCTAACTAACTCTTTCTCTCACTAACTCTTTCTCTCACTAACTCTTTCTTTGACTAACTCTTTCCCTGATGAACTCTTTCTCTAACTAACTCTTTCTTTGACTAACTCTTTCCCTGATGAACTCTTTCTCTAACTAACTCTTTCTTTGACTAACTCTTTCCCTGACATTCTAAAAGTCCGTAACACGGAAGTTTCTCCCCCTAAACTTCCTTTGATCATCTAATATCATCTGGTCAACTACTAATATCTTAGCCATGATGGATGGACCTGGCCTGTGGGAGGTGCATTACATGTCGCGCAAAGAGATGGAAACCGTGATCCAGGGCACTGGGGCGAGCTTCACCGATGTGGCCTCGCAACAGACCGAGCTCTACGAGGGCAGGGAGACGCGCCAACCGGAATGGGGGGATTCATGGGAATAAGATGGGAATATCATGGGAATATAGAGTTAGATATAGTAAGATGATCGTATTTTGTAAATTTTGTACTTGGGGAGATCTGCACCTGAATCTACCACCATTCCTCGGCCTCAAGTTGTCACCATGGTCCCAGGAGACCGACATCATGGGCTGCTTTCGCGGGGTAGCGCAGGAGATGGGCTGTGCCGATGAAGCCATGATGGTGTCGATGCTGAAGACGGCACCAAGGCATTTGGAGCTGCAGATGCCCGGCACCATCCGATGGCTGCAAAAGATTCAGCCGCAGCTGGTGCTCTTCTGCCCCTTCATGAATGGGGAGGCCAAGTTAGATGGGCGATGAAAGATCTAGAGTTAGATGGGGGATGATGGGGGCATTGATGGATGTGGCTTTTGTTTCGGGTGGAATACAGTGGGATCTTGGATCGTTGATGGAAATAAACTCCTTGAATCGCTTGGGAGACTCATTGGGAGACCCAAGGTTTCCATGCACTGCCCCAGATCTTTTGGGATCTTTTCCCATATACTCACCTCTGAAAATTTGGTTTGACACAACTGTGAGAAAATCGCCAATTTCGCTTTACCAATGATTTACCCACCAAACATATCGGTGATTTTCCACTTCGCAAGCGGTAAGATCTGTAAGATCTGTAGGGCCTGGCCCATGACCTGCCACCAACTGCCACAGTGGGAGGCCCTGTTTGCGGCCAAATATCTGCAGATCCCAGCGGTGGGGCTGTGGACCTTTGCGGGGCCCGGAAGCCTCGTGGGCATCGTGAACATGTTCCTGACGCAGTCTGGTGGCATGGAACCTGCAGAAGTCTTTAGACAGGTGGAATCCTTTGAGCCCATGCTGGAGAGCATCAGAAGATTTAAGGAGAACTACGGTTTTTTTTGCTGTAAATATGCATTGTTTTCAGAGAGTTTTTTTGGAAGTTTTTTTTCTAATGTTTTTCATGCAAGCCTTCTGAGTTTTTGGTTTATCCATGGTTTTTTCATTTGCTGACGAAGGTTTCGACTTGGACTTCCGTGGTTTCTTGGAACCCAAGGGTTTCCTATCCGTCTTCTGTGACACGCGCTACAACCTGGTGACCACGGGTAAAGACCTGCAGGATCCATTGCCCGAAGAATTGGCCGAGAGGTACCAAGATGCGACGTTTATCACCGTGGGGCCATTGTTGCAGGCCCAACTTTGGATACCATTCCATTGATTTGTGCTATTTGATATTTGGATGAGTTTGATGGTCCTTGTGTTCTAAAGAGTTCTAAAGAGTTCTAAACACTTCTAAACAGTTCAAAGTTAGCCACATATTGTTCTTCACTGTGGCGTTTCCCACGACATAAGGCGCGAAGTTGCCAGGCCAGTGAGGCGAGCGGCGAGTCCGATGTGTTGACTGAGATCCGGGAAGCCCATGAGGCTGGAAGGCCAGGTGGGAGATCAGTCAGGGATTAATCACCGACTGATTATGACTGATGATTATGAGGTTGATAATCACCGACAATCAGTCATAATTATCAGCATTTTGTTGATGATGAGGTTGAAAGTACTTTCCCAATGATCATCAATGATCTGAGCGCAGGAAGGTGATTTTGGTGAGCATGGGCACGATCCTTACTTCCAACACCGAAGATGTGGGCTGGCACAGCGTGCCCAGGGACGGTTCTGAGAAGCCACGAGGTGCCACGAGATTTGTGGGAACATCTTCGGCAACAATATATCATAGAAATGGGACAAAGCACGATTGCACTTACCAAATTGCTAAATTCAGATGAAAAACAATCACTATCAATCACTCATATCATTCAGTTTTCAGAGATGTTCCAAATCATCCGCATTTTTCCCGCAGAAAACGAGAGGTCTCACTGGCAAACAGCCGTGCCACTCCGCCTGGTCCGCCGCCTTCGATGCCTTCGGCCACTATGGCGACGCGGAGAGCCGGGACGTGCCGCTGCTGGTGGTGGCCGTGGGGTCCCAGGAGGATGCCTTGGAAGATTTGCAGGTGCCCAAGAATGCCAGGTGCTATCCCTACCTGCCGCAGGTGGGGAATCTTTGGGGATGGGGCGGATGGGGGGTGAGAAAGGAGGCCGGACTGACTTTTTTTTTTTGATTGACTTTTTGGGAGAAATTTTGGGGATATTCTTTTAAGCACCAAGGGGGCTCCTTTGTGGGGGCATGCTCAGACATAGGTTTTTCTACTTACTAGGTTTCGGCGGTATAGTTTTGAATTCTTGCAAGATTATTGGTTTTCCATGGTCATGTTAGCTACTATTGTTTTGTGTTTTTGCAATTACCTTGAAAGTGGTTTATAGTTGGCCATGTAACATACTAGGTAGCAAGTGCCAGTAGCCCAGAGAAAAATGGTAGGACTCCCGGAAAAATTGGCAGGACACCCTGTCAATTTTCAACTTGTCAGCTGTTAAGATGTGGCTAGTTTAAGTTACGTAGTATCCCGTGAACTATCTTCAGAATCCTGCAGAATACTGCAACAATGACAGCCCAAAACTTAAAAAGAAATGAACCACTTGAAACCATTGTCTTCTTACGGTTTAATTGCAGGTGAACACTTTTAGGCTGAGTAGGGCCAGAGTTGCAACTTTAGGCCCTCGAAACTTCTCAACCTTTAGAAGATCACAATCTCTGGGCTATCTCTCTGTTGAGAATGGGCTCTCTAACCTTTCACATGATGCGGAAGAAAAAAAAACTTTGCGGAGGCTGGCTAAGAGGGGTAAGCTGGTAGCCGCACAAGTATTGTAGGAAACGGGCAAATTTTCAAAGGTGCTGGAGAAGTCTGGGTATATCTGGGTATTTGAAGTCCTTTGTCCATGTCTTGGCCATTTTAGAATCTTAGCCCCAAAACTTTGTGGCTCTGGTCTTCACATGGCCCAGCTCCCCTATCAAATCAGCTCCAGGTTGAGGTCTTGAAGGCAAAGGTGGACCTCTTCCTGACGCATGGCGGACAGAACAGTTTCTGGCTTCTGATTTCAAACATCTTTTTGCGGTTATATTTCAATCTTTTTTCAGTATATATATATATGATTATATATGATTAGATCAGATTATGCCCCATTACTGAAAAATGGCATGATGATCCCTGAAATTGGATGAATGAGTTTCATGTTTTATCAATATTTTTTAATTGGGCTTCAGGTTTCATGGAGTCCCTGATGGCTGGGACTCCGGTGGTGGTCTGTCCCGGCTTTGCAGATCAGATCGCCAACGCCATGCGAGCTGATGCTCGGTAGGCATCAGTGCGATCGAACTTTGGACCTCTGAGATCCTTTAGTATTTGACTTGTTTCGAAAGTGTAGGTACCCTATTTTTCTGAAAAATGCTTGCTTTTTTTGCGAGCTTGCTAGCCCAAGATTTCTCGATTTTCCCGCCTTGGGGCAGAATGTACGCCCTACTCTATGAATAATTTTTCGGGTCACAGCATCACGGTGAGTTCAAGCATAAAAATGGCACCCACTGCCCAGTTTGATCTTTACCTTCCCGCAGAATCCCATTCTTCCACTAGAATTTCATTCTCATCCCATCATTCCCATTAGATAGTCATCAGCAAAAGGTGGCGAACAGCAGTACTTTCACGATCTTAATTCGCCGGTGTTTCCTTCATCATTCCCAGAATTCTAAGACATTTTCGCCGTCTTTTTGGGGCTTCCTTGGAGGATCATCTTGCTTGGTAACTGCTTAATTTGCCTGAGTAGTAAGTCCCCATTCAATGGCTTATGTGAATTGAAATATCTGAAATGTAGATGAGAACAGTTGCGGTCCGTGGGATGATCCTCCCAAGGGAAGTGACCCAGGTATAAGGGGATATAAAACTATAGTTAGGGGTTTTAGAACCTCAAGCACCCAGGTGTAATTTTGGATAATTTTGGTATACAACTTATGGGAAATTGAGTTATGGGGCTTTATGAAATTCCCATGGTTATAGCCTTTTACCGAAGTTATATCCAGTGGATTTTGTCACCTTTCGCCTCCCGTGGCTTCAGGAGGCCTCCGGCGTCGGGCTGCAGATCCCCCGCCCGGTGCCGCCGCACGGCGAGGAGCTGTCGGCCATGGCGCGCTACCGCGGCACGGTGGTCGCAGCGCTGCAGCGGGTCTTGGCCGAGCCGCAGTTCACGGAGATGGCGCAGCAGATTGGAACGAAACTGCGGCAGGTGGGGGTACTGTTGGTGGGAAAAAGCATGGAGAAATAATGGAAAACCAGGGGAAAACAAGGGGAAAGGATGGAAAGCCAGTGAGATTTGGAAGATGTGGAAGGTTCTTCCAGACAAACCTGGACGGAATATGTTGAACTATATTCTGCTTGAAGGGCATTGGGCTTGGTGGGTGCACCAGCTTGAGGGAAAGATACTTCGATTATTCTTGATTGTAAGGACATGATAGCTAGACAACCCCTTCCATCTCACTTACTTCACAAACAAGATCAGACAAGTATATTGGGGCCTACCTACAAGACCCACGTGAATAGCCAGTTCAGAAACTCCAGCCATCGCAGATGGGCCGCGCCGCCATGTTTCCCACAGGAAGGAGGTGTGCCCCGAGCAGTGGAGCTGTTGATGGAAACAGCCCGCGAGGCGAAGCCTACGTTGTTGGGAAATCTGCACGGGGAGACCAACGTTGCAAAAGAGGCACAGGAGAAGGCAGCAAGAGCTGCACATGCGTAGCAGCATAGCATAAGCATATAGCACTTCAATTTTTCCGTTTGAACTTATGCGCATTCACCTCCAAAGCATTTACAAACCGGCAAGTTGGACTGTCGGAGCGGAGGATTTGAGCGTTGTCATGTTGTACAGCTTGCGGTGAACCACCACTTGCAGTGGTGTGCCGCAGCGGGGCCGCGGTAAAGGCTGTGGCTTCCGATGGCCATTTGGGCGTCGAATTAGTTCGCGGGACCCGACGGCCCCTCGAACTTTGCAAGTCAAAACAGGCCAAGGCAGCGTGCTGCGGCGAGTTCCTGGCTTCACCCCGTGGACATGGTTGGGAGAAGGGCAATGGGATATGTTGGGATGGATGTTCTGCAGGAGTTTTGGTGCCTGATTATGGCCCAAGTTACATCCAGAAAGGAACAAGACTAGAAGCAGGACATGTGACAGGCACTAGAAAGCTCCATGCGATGGCCATTGAACGATGGACATTGAACAATGGACATTGAACAATGGACATTGACCGTGTTGAAGCCCTGAGCCGAATAGAATCAACAAAGATACAATTTCCAATATTTTCCACATAAGTGGACCTCGCAACCAGTGGATGATTGTCAGCGATCCATTTGAGCCTCACCTGCGTCACGGGGTAGACATGGATGGCTCCAGAAGTGTCTCTCCCCAGACGGGGAAAGCTTTGGATCCCTTTAACAATCCCGTCACCTGGGATTGTTTGAGGATGTTTGAGGGAAAAATCTGGAGAAGGAAAAACCCTCATTTTTGGATGATGCATATGAGAAAAACATGACTTCCTGTAGGTGTCCCAGTTCCATGATTATAGAGACAAATTATGCCTGATATTCCAGTAGATTTCCCCTGATTTCCCAAGGGCACAGATGCAGAAGTGCGAGCATTGCAGGCGGCTGGGCAAAGCGGCATTTGACGTCGTTGGTTAAACAAAGGATCATTGTCATAAGTTGCAGGAAAATCTCACATTACAGTAAGTCTGAAATATTGCGATTCAAACAAATCTTTGAATGAATTGAAGAGACGACTTAGAGGAACGCACGAGATTTTATCAGTGAAATTTGGGGGTTTCCGGTCAATTTTCCCGTAGCTGCAACCAGTAAAGACATGGGGGGCATGATTTCCAGATACTGATCTCGAGGAGCATTGCTCCCAATTCGAGCTAATCTACTCTACTGCGTCCAAGAAATCGCAAAGTTTGCCTGAGCTACTGGCTTTAAACCAACGGCTTATCAAAAGGTTTGGTATATCATTGTTGTGCTTATTAGTTCATCATTCCCAGAATTCCACGCAGACAGCATTTACAGATAAACGATTGATTACAATTTATTAGGGCTTGTCGTCATGGTCTTCTGAAAAATCTCTATCATTATTATCATTTTTCTTAGAACACAATCCAAACCATATATATATATATATGCAAAATGCAGCGGAGTTGGGCTCTTTTCCTGAAACCCTAGGGGCGGTCTTGATCATGAATATTGCCGTGGAATGATCGGAATTTCTCAAATTCACACAGGTACCCAACAATTTTATTGGGTTAAAATCATGGAACGCAATACTGTGGCAGGGGTAAAATAAAACAACAGCGGAACCACACGGGCACCCATCAACTGGAAACAGCTCCTTCCTCGGTAATGGCGTTGGTTTGTTGTAAGTTTTGTGATTGTGTGTCAGTGTGTGCGCCCAGACCCATCTTGGTCCGTTTCTTCCCAGACATCATGGCCTCGTCATAAACTACTTTCCATCGAAAATTCATTTTGACATACAGCATCATTTGAGATTTCTCATGAGGTTTTGTCAAACTGTTTGACAACATAGCATTTCCATTTACCCAAAGTAGTTGACCCTGTCCTCGCTCCAAGTTCTCTCTCAAACTTAAAGCCTCGATGTCAGAACGTTTCTCAGCGCCCTTAATCACCGGTGTTGCCCTGTTCATCTTGTCGTATAGGTTCCTCGCGTCGGTGATGACAAACCCTGGGGTAGGAATGGCTGCTGCGTCCACATTTCTTGTATCAATAGGAAAACCTCGCATCTCATTCCAAAGAACTCTTAAATATGTCAAATCATCTTCCCCATTCAAACTTGCCATAGTTTCTGCACATGCCGGTGATCGGCAAGTCCTCTCAATCTTGCCGGACCTCCAATAAATAGGAGTTACATCAGTTTCTTGGCCTTGTCGCAATTTGGAGTCTGTCATGCCAATGAAAATTCCTTCAGTGCTGTCCTTGCCGTTTGGTCGATTTGCCCAAGCAGCATCTGTCCATGCTGCCAACTCCAGTGTCTCATGTTCAGGGAAAGGATGTATTTTATATTTCAAATGCTTCCACTTTTTAACATCTCGAACCAGTTTGTTGGCTTTGTTAATGTCACCCACAGTGCTCACTGGAATGCTGGTAATCAGAAAATTCACATCCACTGAAAAAAGAAAACAAGTTTGACCACATAGCCATGACAAACTGCCCAATAAACCACGAAGTGCTCGTTTTTCATCATCTGTTGTCTGAAGTTCTTCATGTCGAGATCGATCACGTGAAATGCTAATCTCTTCAATCTCATCAATAAACTTTGTTTGTTGTAGTTCAATGCCAAAATCAGATGTTTGTCGAACATGAATACCACATTGAATGAATTCAGAGTACTCCCAGGTTCCCCAAGTAAATTTTTGTTGAATCTTCTGCATGAGTTGATCATGTAGTGCATCACCTTCACGACCCCCAAACATAAAGTCATCCACATGCCCATGAATAATTGATCGAACTGAACGATGTTCATCCATGTATATCCAGCAACATGGTTCTGTTTGAAGGCGTCGATACCCAATTTCTTCTAAAACATTGCTAATAGAATGGTACCAATGTAAGGGTGCTTGTACTAAACCATACGCAGCTTTACGAAGAAGTAGTGGTGTTCCCTCGCTGACTCCCAATTCGTCACAAATCTCTTTGACTGGTCGGCACCACATTTCTTCCTCCAAATCCATACCTTGAAGAAATGCTCCAGATACATCGCCTTTGGCCAACTTCAGCTTTTTCCAAGCACAAAATTGGAAAAACAATTGTCTCCCTGATTTTGAAGGTGTTGGCGCGGATGTTTTCCTCTCCTCGTATCTTGGGTCTTGATAACCCAAAATGATTGCCCTTGCCTTTGCCTTGCGACCTCCTTGTTCATGATATTTTTCATCATACTTCCATGTAAGGAGCCACCGCATACCTAATACCTTCTCTTCCTCAGGGATCATATTTTTCGCTTTTTCAAAACATTCAGCAGCAATAAAATTCCTCACCTCAGTATGTTTTGCCTTGGTGAATTGAATGGCCTCCTCCGGGGTCAGGGTTCGTTCGCGTACCTCTACTTGACGGCGTTTGATTTGAGAGGCGACATACGCTTCTGGGTGTTCCACAAATTTCCTAAGTCCCCTCTTTGAAGTTGGAAGGTCCCACTCAATCTCCACGGCCTTGCAATGTTGTTCTTCAGCATAGAAAGAAGAATATTCACAATGTAAATCCTCGTCATACTCGTTGAGTGTGTTCCTAGGTCTTGCCCGACTGCTGCTGCTGGATGAAGTTCCTACAGGGGTGTCCTGTACGGTCGCAATGTCGCGTTTGCCTTTTCTCGCGTCCACAGTTCGTTTCTTCCCATCAGGTCTTTCCAGTGTAGTTTTCTTGGCCTTTCGCGTTGTAGGAATCGCTTCTTCGCCGCCAGGTTCTTGGTGATGAAATTGTTGCGCTGCTTCCCATTGTTCGTCTGTTGGAGTTTCATGTGAAATATCGACATAGGCACGCCTACCTTGTTCAGTAGTCAGTGATGTGATAGTCCATGGTATTTCAATAGGGCCCTTAAACTCTTCCAATTGAACTTCGTATGGTGAGGCCTTCCTAAGTTGTTCAGGTGATGCACGAATCAACCTACCAGCCCTGTGCAACCAAACCACACTCCCCGGTCGGAGTTCTCCTTGTTCATCTCTTCGGGTTTCGGTGGCAATAACTCTTGCTGGACCCAGGAAACGGCCAACGTGTTGGGTCGTTTTCTCCTTGAGTGGCACCTGGTTGCACCAGTAGAAGACCAAATCACCTGGCAGGAAGGTTTGTGCCCTTCTATGTCCCATTCTCTCTGCTCTTTCCAATCTTCTCTTTGCCTGTTCTTCTGAAAACACTTGTTCAGTCCGACAACGAAGTTGGTGGTTTTCTCGAAATCCCCCATCATCCAAAAGTTCGGGCCCCACTGGTTGAACTTGTTGGGATTCAAATAAGTGGTCATGATCATCAGGACACCTACCCAAAGCATGTTGTAGGGGCGCATAACCCTTGAAAAGGTCACGACAGTTCATCACCCAAATAGCTCGTCCTAGAAGTTCAGCAGGTGGCATATCCGGATATTCTGCGGATAAGGTCTCCATCATCCCCTTGGTGGTTTTGATTGCCCCCTCCACTAAACTGATTTGCCAGTGAGCTTCCGCAGGAATAGGTTGCAGTTCAATGCCATGTTCGCTAGCATATTGGTCGGCCTGATTACTCATCATAGGACCTTGAGGATCTACGCGCAAGACTTGAGGTTGTCCAAAAATTGGTAACCATGACTCCGTGAAAACCTGTTGTATTGTAGTCCATGTAGTGTTGTTGGCAGGGTTGTAGGAAACAATACGGCCCATCCTAAAACGGCTTCCTTCATCCACCATCATCAGAAAATGAAATTTCTTCTTTGTCCTAGGATGACACCAACTTCCCATATCCATTTGAACTCGTTGCCAACGGCGAGGAATGGTTTCCAAAGTTGAGAACCTCCTAGGATCCTGTTTCTTGTAGGTCTCACACATGGGACATTTCCATTGTTTTGCAACTTGTAGAACTTTTGGTGGAACCCCTCGTTTTTCCAAAGCCTCTACCAGATTCTTCATACTACCATGCCCTGTAGCCCGATGTATATGTTGTATCTTCTTCTCGATCTCCTCTTTCTCCCCCTCTGCAAAGTCCTCACCCTCCCGCATGTCATCCTCAGCCTTTTCCTCTTCGGCCGGCATCGCCGTCTCCTCCTTGTTGAGCTCTTGCAAGGTCCTGGGCCAAGATTCTTGCATGCTAAGTGAGTCTACCACTTTGCGTACGAAGGGAGTTGTGTACCGCGCTGTATGTGCAGTTTGGCCAGCTTCGCATTTTCCGCGAACATGATTCTTCTGACATCGTAGGTTGAGATGTTGAAGGAGTTCTTCGTTTTGTGTTGCGATGGTCCATCCTTTACATAGGGGTAGTTTCTTGTCCTTGGTCCTCAAACCCACTGCGCAGCCATGACATGTCACCTTTTCTAATCGAAGCTCTTCCAAGAATCGTTGTACTTCAGGTAATTGCCATGCTTCGGATCGCTCAGAAAATTCCCAATGCACTTGTGTTCCATGACGTTTGGCATATCTTGCTACTTCCATGGCACCCTTGTATTGTAGCCTAGCTTGCTGTTGTTTGGTCTCAAGGTTCTGGATCTGATGTTCATTGCGACGGTTCAACCTTTGAAGGGGACAAAAAGGACCACATGTGCATGAAATCCAAAGGTGTATTGGACGATGCTGCCTTATAAGCTCCTTTGCGTGAGCCACCCCTTGACTAGTCTCAAGGTTGCCCCCATTCCACTCGCTACACCTAATCGCTGACCCTGCTCCAAAACGCTGTAGGACTTCCCCACTAAGCAAACTATCAGAATAACACGCCAACTCCATGAGAAGAGGTCTTTGATGTTGAACTAAAGTTTGCCATTGCCCCGAATAGGGGTTTTTCTGGGGTTGCCACTCTCGCATTAGCTTGGCTGCCATCGTCTCAGAAAGAAAACATTCTGACTCAGCTGCTCTCACATCTCCTTCCGGTTCTTGGAATGCTTGGGAGCTGCCTCCTCCTTCTCCTTTTCGAGTTGCTCGATCTGTGCCTTCAGGGCCATAATCTCTTGGTCCTTGGATCCCACAGTCTCTGACTGAGCTCCCGTGGTGCTGCCCTTGCTGGTGATCTTCGTGAAGCTCCCCATGGACGGGCTGATGTCTGAGAGTTTGTCTTCTGTCTCCTTGATGTCGAAAGGTTTCTTGTAGGTGGTCATGTCTTTCTCGTGCTTGTGTTGCTGGGCCCAGGCCGCCAAACGGCGCAGTCGCCAGCATGACTCGACGGGATTCTCCTGGGCAGTGGTAATCACCCATCCCAGGTAGCCCGGCACGGTTTCCGCCACCTCCCCGTAGGTCATGTGTCCGTGACGTCCAAAGCCCACGATCTCCTTCTCGGTTAGTGGGAATTGTTCGGTGATGATCTGTTCCCCCATTCCATAGAGCTGAGCAATGGTCATGTTGCCCCGGATCTGGCCACCTAGATTCTGGACATACTGAGAGATCTCTGCCTTCTTCTTGGACGCCACTTTGAGGTCTTTCATCAACTGTTGATATTGGAGCTCCTGTGGTGTGGGGCCCATCTGGTCTTGGATCTCCTCCCAGTGTGCCTGCATCTGAAGTATGGTCCAGTGCTTCGGCACTTTGGTGCCGGCCTTCTCCAGTTTGGCAACCCACTCGGCACGGGTGGTGTATGGCATGATCACCTGTCACAAGATGTGTTTGGAGCGCTGTGTTTTGAGCTGACGTGTGGTGGACACATGGATATTGTGGTGTATGTTCGTGTGTGTCATGTGTGTTCTCCTGTTCCTTTTCCTTCTCCTCATCACCAGATTTCTTCACCTCCTGCTCACAGTAAAAACAAATTCCACGGCAAACTGAAAATAAACGGCAATCAGCACACTCAGTGTAACAACGAGTGAGTGATGTCCCAATTGACAAGAGTTTTCCCTTGTCCCCATGCCCCAAATGTGCGCTCCCCTGGTCAGCTCCTTTTTCAAGAGCTTCCATTCGGCCAGAGGAGTCATGTCCCTACTCAGCATCTAATGACGTGAAAGGAGTGTTCCTGGCTCGTCCTCGTTCCAGCAAATTGCCAGTCAATGGCATGAGTAGGTGGCCATTTGGGGCCTCTTCAAGGTCCACCACCACCTTTGGGTCCACTTTCTTGTAGATGATCTTGTTCTCTGCGAAGTCCAGCACAGCTCCTAGTGATCTAAGTGCCCTCCTTGATACTAGGATAGGCTGCCCGGGTGTGTCGTGCACATGGATCTCCATGTTCCCATCTTTGTCTCCTGCTGCCATTCTCATCTTGACAGTGGAAATGCATTGACGTCGGGCTCCGTTCCCAAACTTGAACACTGGCTTGTGGTCAGTGTCAATGGTCATGTGACTGTTGCCACTGGTCAACAAGTTCTGTGCCATGATCTTCTCCAAAGCCTCAGCAGATCCAAGTGACGCAGTAGCGCCTGAATCAATCACCCCCATGCAAGGTGGGAATTGTGAATGCACCACATGGGATTCCTCTTCAGTCCACCCAGCGTAGGCCTCCACATTCTCCGGGTAAGTCACAAAGGCAATCTCTGCCGCCTCCTCGGCGATTCTGGCTTCCTTGCCACGAAGAGGGCAATCAGCCAGCTTGTGAGGACCTTTGCATTTGAAGCATTGGAGAGGTGTTCGAGCACTGGAAGCTGAACTTGTTGTGGAGCTGCTGCCCTTGACGTACGGCTTCGGGGGGGAAAAGTTTCGACCCAGACGAATCTGTCGTTGTTTCCACCTAGCTTCCTTGAGAGTGGCCTTCTGTTGCTGAATGGCCGCATAGGCTTCTTCAATCCGTTCTTGTTCCACAAGGAAAGCTTCCTTCTCGTCGTGACCCAGTAGTTCAAACTCTTGGTCCTGGTCGTCAGCAAGCAGAGCTTCTAACTCATCATCATGGTCAACCTCCGCCATCAAAGCGGTGCCACCCTTGAGTTTGTCTCGCTTGGCTAAGTCATAGTCTGACCATTGTTCACGTAGAGCTCTACCCACTGACCGGGTGGAAAACTCACCTCTGATCGCTGCTAACACGTTGCCCTTCTCATTCACATCCAGACCTGATCGATGGAGAAGTAAGAAACCTGCCAAGAACTCCGGGATGAAGATCTCATCGCTGACGTCCCAATCGGCTGGGGGGTCATAGGCCTTGGACTTCCAAGTCTTGTCAGACCACCCTCCCTGCCATGAGCTTCCCCAGTCCTTCCAGCTATCAGAAGCCTCCTCGTCTTCTTCGTCGAGCTTCCCATCATCTCGGAAAGGACCTGAGTTAGCCTCAGAGGGAGCCTGGTAGTAGTCATACTCCCAGGCGTCCTTGGCTCTCTGGGTTTTCCCAGTCCCTTCACCACCATATTCTCTCTGAACCTTCCGGAGTGCCTGTGACGCTTCCCAAAGAGCTTCGGCATGTCGTGTCACCCAGCTAGTCATTGTTTCGCCTTTGGCTCTTCCCATGTTGTAGAAGAACTTCATGACGAAACGGCTAGCCTCAACGAGACTCGGTTTAGACAAGGTTTGCTCCAAGTACCCCAACAGCTGATACACGCCCCTAGGGTGAGCAAGCCATTGGGGATCCTTCAGGGTCTGTGTGCGAATTGCCACTTTGGCAACACCTGACAACTCCTTCACTAGTCTCGGTCCAGCAAGATATCGTTTGTGATGCTCAAAGGACATCCAGTATTGCAGCGCCTCTTCTCGGTAAAGAGGAAGTAGTTCTGGACTTCCATCATATTGGGGAATTCCATCACTGGTTCTGGTAATCTTCTGATTCGTCATCATGCTTACACAGCTCAATGACGTCCACTCACTATCAACTTCTGTTTCTCACCTAGTTTGCTTCCTCAGCTAAACCAGGCTCCCGCTGCCATGCAAAATGCAGCGGAGTTGGGCTCTTTTCCTGAAACCCTAGGGGCGGTCTTGATCATGAATATTGCCGTGGAATGATCGGAATTTCTCAAATTCACATATATATATATATCTACACATTAAAATACAATATAACTTAATACAATATAAAATATTATAACATATAACACATTATAACATACAAATATTGTAATATATTATATTAATGCAACATAATATAATATAATTTAATACAATATAATTTAATATAACAATATATAATGCAATATAATACACTGCAATATCGTATAATATACTATGATACAATATAATATAGTATAATATAATAAAATATACTATGGTATAATATAGTATAATATGATAAAATATTATATTGTAACGTAATAGAATATAATATAGTATTATAATATTATATAGTATAGTATAAGACAATATAATATATAGATATCATATTATTATATAATATTAAATATATACATAATATTATATATTATTATATATATAATGTATCCAGTGATTCTTGGCTTTCCAGGCGGCCCTGGCAGAAGTTGAAGAAGTCTTTCGCTTGGAGCTCAGGGGTAATCTTCAGCCACTGATGGGAATTGTAAGGGAAACTACCCCCAAAATCACCAAAGTTTTCGGGGCGAATTACTATCTGTTTTGTTTGGTTGGTAAGTTGGTGAATTACTACAAGTCAGTCAGATTTATAGATGACTTGAAAAGTCAAACATGTTGTTGGCAATGATTGTAGGCCCAGTGGTGTCACCCAGCCATACAGAGGCTTGGAGCAGAGAGGATTGGAAGAAACCAATGAAACACTGCTGAGGGTCCAGCAGGACTGGTGTTTGGTCAGGATTTTCTTGGTCAGGATTTCTTGGTTTTCCCGGTTTCCTGATTGGTTTTTGCAAAGAAAACCCACTGAGTTGACACTGACGACACATGAGTTGAAATCCTGGAATCGCTTTGTGAAGGCCGGGTGCCAAAATCGCTTTTCATGCAGACTTGCTCCAAGCTTCTATGGATAGATACTGTATGACCAAAATACCAACCCAAACAAATCCCAGGTAGAATGTTTTGGATCGATGAAAAGGGGGCCCAACTATAGGCGGTATTGAATATGATCGGCAGATGGGAATTATTGAACACTCATAGATTTTTCATTTACGGGAAACATATGCTTTGAAACTGAGGGAAACAATGGTTGATTAAAACGTGTTGGACATGATTAACAATCAAAGTTTAACAGCTTAAGAGATTTTTTTTGTTTAACAATTTAACAATGGATTGATGGAAAATGGTTGGTTTCCCATGTCTTCCCAAGTTCTCCTTTTCTCAACACAGGAGCGTTCCTCGTGGCAGCAGCGCGTGGGGGAGCTTCAACGCCTCCTGCAACAGCAGGTGACGGGAGATCCGACCTGTCAGGGACCAATGGGACCTGGGGATGATCCGACCTGTCAGGAAGCGGCCTTAGATGCTGATGCCCAACAAGCCAAGTGGAAGGTTGGGATAGCCGCTTTGCCACTAGGTCCACTAGGTTTTGTCACTAGGTTTTGTCTGGAGGGTATATTCCCATGTTGGTTACCCTCTGGTAAACGTTTACACAACTATGGAAAATCACCATGCTATCAATGGGTAAATCCACTATAAATCACCATTTTCAATAGCAAAGTGTTAAATTACCAGAGGGTATCTCAGATATCTCACTTATTTTCCAGATCTTTTGATTCCATCCGCCGTGGAGGCCGCGGTCTGTGCGGCAGAACAACAACGCCTCAATGAACTCAATGAAAAGGCCCGGCCATGGGCATCGTTTCATAGTGAAGGCCGCCCAGGAAAGGCTTGGAATTGGCCAATGAACCGAAATATTCTGTAGGAAAATCCCAATGTTTGGTGGTAAGAACCCATGGTTTCATGGGAAAAACTATGGTTTCCTCATGTTTCCTTTAGATTTTCCTAATTTTTTGTGGGAATTGGTGAGGAATCGGTCCTCTCAGCCCTAGAATGCTTGGAATTTCGGAGCAGGTGCGGGAACTACGGGAGCGGCTGGCCAAGCAGCCGCAAGCGCATCAAGTGGTGGAAGAGGCCGGGAAGTCCCATGGGTTTTGGGATGTGTCAATCTTTGCCAAATTGCTAGCTTGAACCAAAACAGTCAGAACAATATCTATCTATCTATCTACCTACCCATCTATCTAATCTAATCTAAATCTTATTTAATCTGATCTCATTTTGTCTTATCTGCTCTTTATCTATTGAATCTATTCTATCTAATCTATCTACCGTAATCTATCCATCTATATCTTTTTCTTTCTGTCTATCTATCTATGCATACATACACGCCCGGATCTAGAAAAAGACATAGATACCAACATAGAATGTTATCTGTGTGTGCAGGCGGTGGCAAAGGTGGAATGTGACACCCAGCAGCGCCGCCACAGCCAGCAGCTGCAGTGGGAAGCCAAGCAACAGGAGATGAACCAAAAGTTGGAGGCTGCCGAGGCTGGGAAGCTGGCTGATTGGCTGGGACCAAGGGTGGGTGAGATTTGGGCTTGCGATAGTGGTTGATGGGGATAGATTGCCGGTTGACTGATGGTTGATGTTTTTTCATCAGTTGTTGGTTGATCGCTGGTTACTGGTTGATTGCCGGTTGTTGGGTGGGATACTGTTGATGGGAAACTTCTGAATATGCGTTTTTCGGGAGAGAAATAAGAAAGAGGAGCAGAGAGGGGAAGTAGTTCATGGCAGTGACCCTTTCGTTTGATAGTGGTAACAGGTGACCCTTTCGTTGTTGTTGGGAACCATCCCGACACATTTTTATTGATTCCCTGAAGGTTCATCAGCCATTGGATCGTCTCCAGCAACCTCAGCTTTACCGTTGAAACTCCATCATTTGCTGTTGGGACCATCTCTATACATTTGTGATTCTTCCCGTTTGCTGTTACACATGTTACACCGTTGTTCAGGAAATTCCCCACCATGGAATCTAGAATGAAGCATGTCTGTATCTGTTTGGAGAAGTTCTACTTTGACGGACATTATATCCCTAGCCATGGGAAATATACACTTGGAAGTGCACCTCAGTAAGTGGCTCATAACCATTTTGCTGACCATGGAGTTGTAACCTGGTGATACGCAGGCCTCCTTCTGACAAACTTTGAATATATAAATATACATTACACACACACATATATATATATATATGTGTGTCCATTATATGATAATTACATGTATATACATTCACATATTTTGTGTATGTTTACGTGTTACCATATGCATATATATATATGATTAAGTATCGGATGTACCCAGCGATCATTTGGGCTGATTCTCCAGCTACAATTTCTATGCCCAACTCTGCATATCCGCCAGGCTCGATTGGCGTTTCTGGAGGAGCAAAAGGCGCAGTGCTTAAAGGAGCTGTTGAAATGGCGGAGGCGCCAGTGTCGGTGGGATCAGCCCCGTGGAGACTAAGTAGTTGGTAATGGGATGAATCACCTTCCCATTGGGAACTGGGAAAATGGCTCTTGAGATTAACAAGAAGTGGAGAAATGATGATAAACTATCAATGGGATTGTTGGGAAGTTTCATATTATTATGGAGAAATGAAGGGTTCAAAAATTGCAGCCAGAAATTGAGTATGACCCAGACATGAGGGGAATGACTACGTAGAGGTTTGGCACTATGAATTGTGAATCCGTAAATTTGGACGTCTTTGGTCTGAACTCTGGGACTTGTCCAAATTTGGCTGGGTCGAAAAGAAAATAGTTATGATATAGTTATGGCTCATAGTTACTAGTATATATATATAGATAATTATAGATAGATAGATATATAGTATAATAGTCATATAGTTGTGTATTGTTACTAGTATATATGGTTCGAAAACCTTCGGTGCCAAGTGACTTTTCGTGGCCAAGGCGAATGGCCCTACTGCGCATAGGCGCGGATGCGGATGGCCTGTCTTCACTGGCGCACCTGGGCGCCGCCGTCGACCCGGGGCAGGTCGAGCTGGGAGTAGCTGGAAACTGCAACGCTGGCAGCTCAGACGAAAAGTGGCAGCCATGCATGGCAAATGCATGGCCATGCCGGCCGAAATGGCACAGAATCTGGTGTCGTCAACCTCATCAAGCTCCAATTTTGGAGGCTTGATTTATACCATACCTTTACTGGTGATGTTAGGGATGGCCTATGGCATTTCGTGTGCCACATTCGGTGGGATTGGGATTCGACTTGAACCGCGGGATGCTGAGGTCGGAATGAGTTGGAGCAACAGCAGGCCGATGCAATGGGAAGTCCTCACTTTCCATTGCCATTGTCTTCTGGAGGGCAATGGGCTACACATGAGGGGACAAGTGGCCAGGACCAAGTTCTAGTGATAGTCACCCCAGATTTTTCCAGCTTTTAGCCCCATTCCTCGTGCGTAGGACCCCGCTTGACCCCGCTGTCAATCTGATCGATGCCAGTTGGATTTCCAGCTCTTGCGCCTGCGAAAGCGGCTGTCCCGGAAACAGGCCAGAAATGAGCAGACTAAGCTGATAGAGTTTTGTGAGAACCGACAACCATCGACAACCATCGACAACCATTGACAACCATCGACAACCATCGACAACCATCGACAACCATCGACAACCATCGACAACCAATAGTTTAGGATACTGTACCTTGAGATGCCTCAAAATTTACGTCCAATTACTTCCTTGCTCACTGTTTGCCGAGATGCTGGTTTTAAAGTTAGAGTTCTCACGTTCTCATGTGGCCAGGGACATCTCGATGAAGAGGCCCAACGGCTCCGCCGCCTCTGACCAGTGAAGTCTGAAGCTGCCACCGTTGAGCCTCTGATTTTTCCAGCTGCCTGGCAGGTTGCTTTGAAAGCCATGGGGCTGAAGAAAGAATTGGACAAGGAGGTTGGTTGCATGGCCGTGGGCATCCAGCATCAGGATCGATGATGTCCATGGTGCCAGGCTGCTTCCAATGACCTTCGGCAAGAAGAACGGCAAGAGGAGTTGGAACAGCTGGAGGAGGAGGTGGATGCGCTGAAGGAGCGAACTGCCAAGGCCAAAGAGCTGCTGAGGCCCGGAAGACTTTTCCGGGATAGCAAGCTGGTGCCCAGTTTTCCCGTCGCAGGCAGCACACGCAACTGAACCAAGCCCTAGGCCATGGACGCCGATTTTGCCATACGGAGGTTTCCTAAAATGGGGGTACCCCAAATCATTCAAGAGACCGGTTGAGTGTTGAAACCTGTGGTTTTGGGGGTACACCCCCATTTTCGGAAACCGGTTGCCATGTTGCGAAAAACGATGATGGGGCTCCACTGCCTCAGGTATTTGTCCTGCACGCTCGGCGTCGCAGCGAATTCGTCGGCTTTCGGAGGCCGGGAGCCAGCTGGACGTGGTGAACGACGAACGAACCACGGCCAATTGATGAATGAGATGAGAGGATATGGTATCATGATGTATCATGATTATTTTTTTTTGGTCTAGATTACTTACCAGAAATAAAGCGATACATCATGATGCATCACACGTTTAAAAGGGTAGCTGCCAAGCATAGAAAGTCGCCGGGCATAAGGCCTGTGCCATCAGCGAGTCGCAAGCGGCAAAGCACGTGCTGCCCTCGTTGGAGCTGGTGATTCTATGTCATTGACCAGCCAAGGTTACCTGTCACGACTGGACTTGTGGATTTTCCATGACAGCCAGCATGAGTCTTGGTCTTCAGCGGCTTTACCGTACCTTGCGCGCGGCTTGAGGCGAGAAGACACGACTTCGAGGTTTCTCTCGGTGGCAACCGCGTTGTAGCCTCATTGTGGTTGCTACCAGCTGCTACTATGCTGCTTTGCCAGGCCTCCACTGGCCGACCATCACGACTCCAGGCGAATCATCAAGAATCGCTTTGGCCGTTTGGCGTTTCGTTTCTCGCAGATTTTAGTCGATGTATTGGATTGGATATATAATATAGATTATATAAATGAAATGGATTGAAATGGATTGAAATGGACAGATTTTATTAGATTGATTAATGCGATTAAGGTAAATTGGATTAGATTAGATCACAATGATGACACGGAGCAGATGAGATTACACACTTATAGGCCACCGAAAAGACAAGAACGCAAACCACCACTGAACTGGCAAGACGACTTTCCCTGGCAGGGCCAGCTGAGGGGGGTGGAGGAGGATATCCAAAGGTGCCAGTGTGATATGTGGTGTTGGAGCAATGCCTTGAGATTCAACGAGACCCAAACGAATTGATGATTGGTGGGATGATGTAAGGTGGTTGGTGAGATGATGGTTGGTATGATGGATTCGCCTGATACGGCTTTGATTGTTGCAGATGCATGGGCAATCTGTCGCCGTGCCACCGTTTGCACCATCTGCACAAGCCATGCAGGTCCATCCGGCGTTCGCAAAGCGAGCGGAGAGGCTGCATGGTCTTTGGACAGAGTTTTCACTGGTAGACCCCTAAACGTTGCCGACAGAACATTTCAAACTTGCAATCTAAGGTGCCAGTTGAACAGCTCTCACATGTTGCTTGCATGGATGCTTTGGCTTATGCAGCCTAGAAGCTGGGTTTTCCCACTTTTAGTGCCGAAAAGTGGTGGCATAGCTTTGAGTGGTTGAGCAAGGCATTGGGCGTTGAGTCCATCAGACCATTGAGCCAACTTAATTACATGGTCAGACTCACAGGAGACAAAGCCATTGAACACACGCTTTTGAGGAACACAGACACCACGCCACTACTAGAGAGGTTGCCAGCCATGTCGTCTGCATCTTTTCGTTATGACCGAGATTCAGACAAGTTCTCGGAGGAATCCCAAAGTCGCAAGGGTTCTGTGGCTGCATCCGATCTGAGATCTGATCGATGGAGCGTGACTGATCGCTCTTCCAGACTTGCCAAGTTGAAGGAGAAGCAGCGGGAGATCCAAAAACAAGTGGATCAAAGGAAGGGACGACCAGAGAAAGAAAGTGAAGGTCAAGGTGGTCCCTTCCTTGGTCAAGGTGGTCAAGGTGATGATATGACACACATAGCGTCCTTGGAGCTCAGTCGGCAGAGCTCACCTCCATTGGGGTCAGCCTCCAAGTTGCAGAGTCCTTCCGGTGGAGATCTCTCCATCAGGTCGGATGACCAGTTAGATCAGTTAGTCGACCTCTCGATGAAGATTGAGAAAATGGGATCTGAGATCAGTGCCCAACAGAAGCAGCTTCAAGACTTGATGATGACAGCAGCTGCGGCTGCATCTCAGAAAGGCCTAGAAGAATGCATGATGCGCATGGAAGATCAGCACAAGATCCATTTGGACGAGATGCATCGTCTCCAGCAGTCCTTTGCAAATGATAGTGAATGTCAAGGTCTGCGTGTACAACTAGATGCTTCCAAGCAACGTGAGCAATCCTTGGAGACACAGCAGATCCTTCTGGAAAGAGCTTGGAATGATGAGAAGGAAAGCTTGGAGAAGCAACTTTCCCAGCTGCGCAGCCGTGAAACGACTTTGTTGCAGCAGTTGCAGAAAGCCATCGTGGAGGTTCCTGCTACGCCCGCTTCGGAGGAAAAATCTGAGCCGAAATCGTTGAAGTATCTGAAGTGGAAGCGAGTCCAGTTCCGGCCACGGATCTTTTTAGGTATTGCGGGCTTTGTTGGTCTAGTGGCAGCTATGACAGCTCACTTCAAATGGCGCCACCATGCTGCGCCGCACAAACCACCCAGGGGATTAAGAGGTCCTTTGGGACGGGTGAGACTGGCAGCACACTTGCGCGGTTGAAGGAAAAGGTGTTGGCAATCGCTATGCCAAGATGCTGCCACACATTGACACCAGCAATAGTCTGTCTGAAATTTCGTTACCCTAAATCATTTCTGCATTGAAATTGCCACATTTTGGACACACCCAACAGATGTTCACAATCGCATGCATATTCTGATATTATCTGTGCAGCCGATTTTGATGTCAAAGTGTCAGAAAGGCCTGCAAATACAAGCCGAGCTGCGACGCCTTTCCCAATAATTTCTTTCCTGAAGATTAAACTATCTAAATAAATAAAATAAATATGTATATAATAATATATTATAATACATCTGAAAAATAATAGGTGTATATAGTACAACTATAATTGCATTATAAAAAATATTGTTTATTCAAATGTATATATATATATATGTATATATATATGTATATATATATATATATGTATATATATGTATATATATATGTATATATATATATATCATAATATATACAAGGAATTCTTGTCCTGAGGGGCAACAGTGCTGCGGGGAGCTTAAGAATGTGACACCTGCTTTTCTAAATTGAGTTCTGTCAAAACCCGGTTTGCGTTTTTGCAGGCTTTTTAGACGTTGCTGTCCTAACCACTATTTTTAGTATTCATTTTAAGAAGCCGTCCCGTACCTAACTGCAGCTGTTGAAATGCGATTTTTTCGATTTTGAATGACCCTGCGCAACGAACGATAATAGAAACCGTCTATATAAGTAGATATGCTTTTCGTTGACCCTTCTGATAGAACGATAACAAAAACACTTCTACCCGGGATATGCTGTCGATTGACTCTGTGCATGCAGCGACGGATGGAAATCTTCCACTCAATTTTTTTTTTTGTTGACCCTGCCATTGAAAGATAGCAGAAAACTTCTGCTTTGAAATGGCTTTGGATCATCCCTCAAGTTGAATGCTCGCGCTCTCAACAAAACCGCCATTGTGGAAATCATTCCTGGCTATAGAGAGTTACGGTAAGATGGCATACACAAAACGATGCATTTATGCCATCCAAGAGGTGTTCATTCCCTCACTGTGTCCTGTTGCTTATGATGGCATTCAAGGAAGCCCCCCCTTTTCTGTGTGCCATCATAATGACAATGAATAAAGACACCAAAACGATCCAAAACTATCAAACTATAGTGCCGCTATCCCCTGCACTTGTTGAAAGCGTGGTGTGCCATCTTAGTGTGACACCCCCAATTTGCAAGAAGTATGCACCTGTCTTGTATTGGAAAGCTCTGTATATGTTTTGACTTTCACTTTTGGCTTGTGCTGCTCCATTTTCGATGGTTTGCTTGGGTCTTCTAGTGTGTTTTCTTCAATTTTGCATGGTCCTACCTTCATTTTTGCATAGTCTTCCCCGATTGAATGGTCTTGAGAGAGGTGTGTGTTATCTTACTAAGACACCCCAATTTGCAAGAAATTTGCATCTACCTTAAATTGGAAGATTTCATGTGTATTTTGACCTTCATTTTTGATTTATATTATTCCCGAATGCGGAGCAAAGGGTTCCCGTTTAACTGTGGGGGTCTGGGGGCCGGGGGTGTGTTCACTCGCTGTTTCGGCCTGCGACCGCGCGAGGGCCCTATGGCAGGGCCGCTGGGGAACGCTCCCGAACGGGGTCTGGGTGGGCGGAAGAGAGGGGGGAGGGCGGATGGGAACGAGGGGGGGCATTCGGGTTCGCGGATTTGTCTTGTTCTATTTTTTACGGTTTTACTTGGATCCTTTAATATATTTCTTAATATTTTATATGATTTTATTTTATTTTTATATATTTTTTTTTTACAATTAAAAATATTGGAAAAGCAAAATATTTTTATATTGAATAATTCTATATATATATATTTTAATTAATTTATTTTATTCCCCAACAGCGTAAGATAATGGGGTCGTCAGCCCAGAATAGCTCCGGTGTGCGCTGGTGCAGGCGCCGGGTCAGGTTCAACGAGGTTCCAGAGAAGGTTCCGAATGTTCTGAAGAAGGTCTAGGAGGCTTTGGTGCAAAGCCAGGTCACATTCAACAGGGTTCCGGAGAAGGTTCCGGAGGTCTGGGAGGCTTTGGTGCAAAGCCGGGTCAGGTTCAACAGGGTTCTCGAGAAGGTTCCGGAGAAGGTCTGGGAGGCTTTGATGCAAAGCCAGGTCAGGTTCAACAGGGTTCCGAAGAAGGTTCCGAAGAAGGTTCCGGAGAAGGTCTCGGGGCAAGAGCCAGGTCAGGTTCAACAGGGTTCCGGAGAAGGTTCCGGAGAAGGTTCCGGAGAAGGTTCCGGAGAAGGTTCCGGAGAAGGTTCCAGGAAGCCTTGGTCCAAAGCAAAGTCAAGTTCAACAGGGTTCCGGAAAATGTTCCGGAGAAGGTCAGAGGCTGAGGTCTGGGAGGGTTTGGTGCAGAGCCAGGTCAGGCACAGGGTTTCGCAAAAGGTTCCGGAGAGTGGGAGGCTTTGGTGCAGAGCCAGGTCAAATTCAACAGGGTTCCGGAGAAGGTTCCGGAGAAGGTCCGGGAGGTTTTGGTGCAGAGCCATGCAGGTCAGAGAGGGTTCCGGAGAAGGTTCCGGAGAAGGTTCCGGAGGTCTGGGAGGCTTTGGTGCAGAGCCAGGTCACGTTCAACAGAGGTTCCGGAGAGGGTCCCGGAGAAGGTTCCGAAGAAGGTTTTGGAGAAGGTTTCGGAAAAGGTCTGGGAGGCTTTGGTGCAGGGCCAGGTCAGGTTCAACGGGTTCCGGCGCAGGTCTGGGAGGCTTTGGTTCAGAGAGAGGTTGAATTCAATAGGGTTCCGGAGAAGGTTCCGGAGAAGGTTCCGGAGAAGGTTCCGGAGAAGGTTCCGGAGAAGGTTCCGGAGGCTTTGGTGCAGAGCCACGCCAGGTTCAACAGGGTTTTGGAGAAGATTTTGGAAAAGGTTCCGGAAAAGGTGGCTTTGGTGTAGAGCCAGGTCAAATTTATCAGGGTACCGGAGAAGGTCTGGGAGGTTTGGTACAGAGTCAGGTCCGGTTAAATAGGGTTCCGGAAAAGATTCCGAAGAAGGCGTGGGAAGTTTTGGTACAGAGGTTAGGTTCATTAGGGTTTCGGAAAAGGTTCCGAAAAAGGTTTTGGAGAAGATTTGGAAGG